CAATAAACTCAATAAAAAAAAAAAAAAAAAAAGAAGTGGCCGGCATTATAGCTCAATGGTAAAGCACTTGCCTACCATGCTCAAGGATCCAGAAACTCCCAAAGTAATAATAATGATAATTCTGTAGTAGGAAAATATAGTTTAACAAACAAAAGTTATAGTCTCTATTAGAATAATAGTTACCTATACACACAGTCATTTAAATTGATTTTTAAATAAGGCGGGAAAACCAATGTATTCTCCCTTTTAAGCGTTATTGAGTTGATATTGAAAGAAACAAAATGTGTATTTCCTGCTACACTCTTAGACCTGCGTCACTTTCATCTTGTGTTGATATCACTCAACTCAGATAGCTTTAAAATTTAAGAAAACAAGAATATGTAATGAATCTTTGAAATTAAAACAATTATAAAATATCTCTAGATATTTCTTTCTCAGTCTAACATTTACCAATTATTGAGGACCTCCTAGAGTATAGGCTTAAACTTCTTATTTTTATTTATAATTTCTTATTGTTAAGGGATTTCCTCCAACATTAGCTGTGTACTTTTTAGCAAAGTCATATTTTCCTATTTTAAAATGACATATCAAAATTTAAAATGTAACTACAACATCTCAATTAATGAATAATTAAAAGCCAGCCTCCTCACATTCAGAGAAGAATTTTGTATCCATTTTTCTCTGAAACGGTGGAAGCGTGTACCCTCTTGTTCCAGACTTATGATTTACCTTGTTACATGATGGAAGATCTGGCAGTGCCTTCTGTAGGATTGAAAGTGTTCACCTCTGAGACAGTACTCTCCTGTTCCCCTCATCTGTTAAATATTAACCGTTGGAATGGAGACACAACTGCCAGATGATGGTCTTTCTGTGGCATATGATTGACAAATTTGGGAAATGCTTAATCGTCATAGTGTTCTTGTTTTCTTTTTAATGTATTCGTTCTTTTACACATTACACTGTGTATTACATATTTCCCCATTCTTTACAGCTCTCCTTGTTTTCCTTGTCAAAATTCCCTTATTCCCATTTTAATACATTTCTTCTTACCTATATTTTCCCCATTCCCTATTTCCATCCTTGCTTTGCTTTCAAATTATATAATCCTAAACTCTACTAAATTTTTCATGAAACAGGAGAAATACAAGCAATATCAATAGCAAAATGGTGACTTCGGGAGCTTTTCTATTATCCCAAATCACTCTTTGTTAGTGTACTGTGTTTGTTTAAAGCTGAGGTATTTCAGTTTCTTTCTTGACCTCTTAAAAACTGAAGCCATGAAATGAGCAATTGGAGATTCGTGAGTGGCCTTTTGAGTCATGCAGTACTATTTCCTAATGATGACCTATGATGTAGTTCCCAGTGCCCATCCATTCAGCCTTCACTGTATTTATCAGCACTGTGCTGATGACACCATCGCGGCACAGTGGACACTGCAGAGAAGGAGGGCATATAATCACTGCCCTGTGGACTTAACAGAAAAGCAGCCATCGGACACACAAAATCATCAGTATAATTATGTTACAGGAAAGGGAAATGCAAAATATTAAGAAAGCAGGCAAGAGGCAAAAATCTGTGCTTGCCTCACTGATCTTGGATGAAAGGTGTGTCATTCTGGTCTCATGTGTGAAATGTGGCACCTACACAGATATTCCTTAGCAGACTACAGAATGTAAGATTCTGAAACCAGCATCTAATACAAACCAATTTCCAAAGTTTTATAATTTTTCCAACTCTATGTTGTCATTGTTTTTTGCTGTTAAGGCAGTGAAATCTGTTGTTTAAATGTTATCTGGGAAATCTTTTCCTCAGCTATAAAACCATGAGAATCGATTAGGATGTCAAAAAAGAAATGTGGCCAAGTCTTAAATAAAAAAGAAGAGGATTAGACAGGACAGAAGCGTGAACAGAGATTAGGAAGAAAAAGGCCAGGTGAGACTCAGGAAAAGGAAAGTAATTGTTCGGAATGAAAGGGTTTGCTTCCTGGACGCTGCATTGTAAATGTTTCTGGGTGCAGCAGGTTTAGAACTATAGAGCATTTAATCTCATACTTGTCTTCTGTTTGGGTATCACCTGTGTTTCCCAGGTGCAAAAATGTGTCTAACCTTACCCTACAATAACTTCTTTTTGTGGCAAAAGTAGAGTGTAGGGATTTTGCACCTGTGAGAAGCATGTCTACAATTAGAAGCATGGACTTTCCAGGGAAATTCCTTCTAAATAGCAATCTGTATATTACCTCACATCTAATCAATTTCAATAAGTTTCCATTTAGGGGACTTTGGGGTCACGGATTCCAAATGAATCAGCTTGTGGATCTCTTGAGACATCGAACGTTGTTGCTATTTTCATTATACTGAATAAAAGTAATTCCATCATGCTACATTTCCTCACCCTCTGCCTTTCTGGCATAACAAGCATTTTAATGACTTCTGGGCAACCATTCAGAATCATTTCTTCACTGTCAATCAGCCATTTAATCATTCCTTCATATATTCAACACATAACTTCAAGCAGTAAATTCTCTCTGTGTTTTGTGTTGTGCCAGTATTTCCTAGGGTCTCTGCTGTGGAGCCTGCCAACCTGGGGGCAAATAAAACATGATTGACAAGGAAGGTCAGTTACAACAAAGCAGCGCACTAATTATATAGGTCAGTTCAAGAAGAATGACTTCAGTTTCATGGCCAAGATTACTGTGAGTTGGAGTAGTCAAAAACAAAGAGGATCTTGAGGAAAACTCAAGCTGATTCTTGGCAGACTGGTGAGATTTTGATTGATGGCTAGAAAAGAGAGGGAATTCCATGAAGAGAAAAAAAAAGTACAGAAAAATTTGAGTCTGACAGATTCGGGAAGTGGGAATATAGACAACTATGGTATAGATGAGCAGGAATACATTAGATATTAATGAAAAGAATGAATAAGTGAATGCACAATTAAAAAGAAACTAGAGAAAGTTTAGGAAAGGATAGTTGGCAGCGAAATTTTAACTGAAGGGGATTTCATAAACAACATGATTGATAGCTACAAGATAATAAAAAAGCCTGCAGAGGCCATTTCATGTAGGATCAAAACAAACAATTTTCATCTGCCATCAGTTTTATTTGTGTCTGTCAAGGCCTTGGAAGAAATGAAAGAATCAAATTATTTATCTGGTAATATAAATACTAGGACAACGAGTTAATTAAAGAATGTTAACCAGGCAATTGTGCTTCATAAACATGTTTGCAACTACATTGAAGTTACAGGTTAATCACACAGTTTGAAAAATAATGAATCAGGTAATTTCGCTGGTAAAATCATATTATCAGTGTCTCATGGTCATGTTAATGCATCACTTTTAGTTCTTTCAACAAATTATGTAAGCATACAAGTTTCTTCACCTTCAACCTTCAACGATGAGTCTGAGATTTCTGACAAAATTTGTGTTTTGAGTGTCCCTTCATCTTTCTGAACTATCCTTATGATTTAAGCACATGCTTTTTTTAAAAGCAATTTAAGAATCTTCAGCACTCAATTAAAAATAATTTTTCCATTAACTCTCAGACCTAAAGTGAATTAATAGCATCATGAATCATAATAAAGGCATCTAATTTTTGGCACATAAAAAGGCAAACACTCAGTTGGCCCCATCCATAACAAGTTTGAATGATCCAGGGATCTATATTTCTTCTTCCTCACAATTTTTTTCAAATTTCTAGATTCACTTTCTATTTTTGAGTCTCCAGAGATCTGAAATTCTATAGTCCCAGAATAAAAATAACATGGAAAAAGATGAACGTAGAGAATGTATTTTTGAATGAAAATACTCATATATTGTCTGTGCCTCCTGTACAACTCTTACATGAAGAAATGACCAGATTCTTCAATAAAGAAATATGGTGAATCTTTTATTCTTCCTTCACCTTTACATTTTTCTGCAGCTACTTGATCTCAGTAAGAGAGTTGTGGTCATAATAACTTATTTATTCAGATGTATTATGCCATCTTTCCTTATAAAGGTTTTGACTGCAGAAAAATTTCTTTTCATGGTACTTAAAAAACCTTAAATACTATATAAAGAGGAATGTGAAAGAACTATGTGTATGGAAAAATATTAAGGTCAATATTAATAGGAATGATATGTAAAAAATAAATCAAATATTTTAAAAATTTACCACCTGCCAGGTTGCAATAAGCAACATATCAGAGAGGAATCCCTGTTGGGAAGCTGTGAGTATTATTTTAAGGGAAAAAATTTCCATATGGCACAACTGTTTAACAACATTTTGTTAGAGTAGGCCCAGCTCTTCTATCTAGTTCTTGGTCAAAGATAATGGGAAAAAATAAAAGTAAACCCATTCTGGCCTCCTTTTCTAAATTCCTATCCCAAATATTCACTGATGCTACTAAAGAAATGCAACTTTCTTAAAATAAAGATATATATAGCATCTATAACTTTTTAAAGGTTGATTGTCCAACAAAGAGTTAGACTTTTTGGTAAGGATCCCAGTGATTTCTCTACTTAAAAGTCTATCTGTCAAATTATGCAAAATATAAAGTCTCTTTTAGGAAAATAAAAAATAAGTATAATTGGCCCTCTGCATCTATGAATTCTACTTCAGAGATTTAACTAACCATGAATCACAATATTTGGGGAAAAAACTGCATTTGTAATGAATATGTATAGACTTTTTGGTAATTATTTCTTAATCAATACAGTATAACAACTGTTCACATAGCAATTATATTTTATTAGGTATTATAGGTAATCTACAGGTGATATAAAGTATATGGGAGAATGTGCCTAGATGTGTATGTTATACACAGATCTTAAATCATTTTATAGAAGTGATTTGAGCATTTACAGATTTTGGTATCCACAGGAAGATTCTGAAACCTACCCTCCACAGGTACCGAGGGTTGACTCTACTGGAATCACTTGTTTGTAAAATGTAAGCAAAGTAAACCAAATCAACTTGTTTTTATGTATCTGGACATCTTATTAGTGTTATATTTTTATTCTAAGAACCAGACCCTACTACTTATGTAATGAACTGAATTTTTTTCCCATGAAATTTAGAAGGTTGTGATGAGAATTATGAGACTGAGGGAGGGAACTGGATCAAGAAATTTGAGACTGGACTTATTTTTAAAATATACTCTTCAGTGTTTCAAGATCTGGAGAAAGGTAATAGGGGCAATAAAATTATACATATATATATATATATATATGTATTAGTATGTATCACAAATGCATATTGATATAAATATCTAAAAACATTCTGAAAAAGCTAGGTGAGAACCAGGCAGAATGGACCCTCTCTTACCACACAGTAACTAAACTTGCTGCTTTGACTGGTCTTTTGTGATGGCCCAAACAGCTTTCTCTTTCTATACTAGCCCCAAGGTTTTGACCAGTATTGTTACGCAGGTTGATGTTTGATGTTTCTCTCTTTTTTATTTTTGGTACTAGGATCAAACTCAGATCCTTGCACTTGCCAAGCAGGCAGCAGAACTACTGAGCTAAGTCCGCGGCCCCTCTCCATTTTTATTTATTTATTTATTTTTTTAGTTTATTGGTGCATTTTATGTATACAGTACAGAGACATTTATTATTGGGATTCTGTACCTTCTTCCCCATACCCGCCCTGCTCCAGAACTTCTAAAGATATCCATCGAGTTGCGGCAGTGAGGTAGACTTCAAAACCCAGTTTACTTTTTTTAATCTTCTAACATTTTGAAATCAGTTTTTCATAGCTCTCCCTTCGTATGTTTGCTCTTGCTATTTATCGTACCATAAACTTTAAGAGCAGGGAAGATCTGTGTTTGAATTCCTATTCCC